AAAGTCAACGCGTTGTGCTCAGCAGGTTGCGTTTGACCGAATAGCACTATTTGCTGCAATGTGCAAAAAATAAGTTTTTTCCAACATTTTGTCATATCTCACGAACTATTGAGCCAATCGAGCTGAAACTCAGCGCGTTGTGCTCAGCAGGTTGCGTTTGACCGAATAGCACTATTTGCTGCAATGTCCAAAAATAAGTTTTTTCCAACATTTTCTCATATCTCACGAACTGTTGAACCAATCGAGCTGAAACTCAGCGCGTAGTGCTCAGCAGGTTGCGTTTGACCGAATAGCACTATTTGCTGCAATGTGCAAAAATAAGTTTTTTCCAACATTTAGTCATATCTCACGAACTATTGAACCAATCGAGCTGAAACTCATCGCGTTGTGCTCAGCAGGTTGCGTTTGACCGAATAGCACTATTTGCTGCAATGTGCAAAAATAAGTTTTTTCCAACATTTTGTCATATCTCACGAACTATTGAACCAATCGACCTGCAACTCAGCGCGTTGTGCTCAGCAGGTTGCGTTTGACCAAATAGCACTCTTTGCTGCAATGTGCAAAAATAAGTTTTTTCCAACATTTTGTCATATCTCACGAACTATTGAACCAATCGAGCTGAAACTCAGCGTTGTGCTCAGCAGGTTGAGTTTGGCCGAATAGCACTATTTGCTGCAATGTGCAAAAATAAGTTTTTTCCAACATTTTATTATATCTTACGAACTATTGAACCAATCGAGCTGAAACTCAGCGCGTTGTGCTCAACAGGTTGCGTTTGACCGAACAGCACTATTTGCTGCAATGTGCAAAAATAAGTTTTTTCCAACATTTTGTCATATCTCACGAACTATTGAACCAATCGAGCTGAAACTCAGCGCGTTGTGCTGAGCAGGTTGAGTTTGACCAAATAGCACTATTTGCTGCAATGTGCAAAAATAAGTTTTTGCAACATTTTGTCATATCTCACGAACTATTGAACAAATCGAGCTGAAACTCAGCGCGTTGTGCTCAGCAGGTTGCGTTTGACCGAATAGCACTATTTGCTGCAATGTGCAAAAATAAGTTTTTTCCAACATTTTGTCATATCTCACGAACTATTAAACCAATCGAGCTGAAACTCAGCGCGTTGTGCTCAGCAGGTTGCGTTTGACCGAATAGCACTTTTGCTGCAATGTGCAAAAATAAGTTTTTTCCAACATTTTGTCATATCTCACGAACTATTGTACCAATCGAGCTCAAACTCAGCGCGTTGTGCTCAGCAGGTTGCGTTTGACCGAATAGCACTATTTGCTGCAATGTGCAAAAATAAGTTTTCCAACATTTTGTCATATCTCACGAACTATTGAACCAATCGAGCTGAAACTCAGCGCGTTGTGCTCAGCAGGTTGCGTTTGACCGAATAGCACTATTTGCTGCAATGTGCAAAAATAAGTTTTTCCCAACATTTTGTCATATCTCACGAACTGTTGAACCAATCGAGCTGAAGCTCAGCGCGTTGTGCTCAGCAGGTTGTTTCTGACCGAATAGCACTATTTGCTGCAATGTGCAAAAATAAGTTTTTTCCAACATTTAGTCATATCTCACGAACTATTGAACCAATCGAGCTGAAACTCATCGCGTTGTGCTCAGCAGGTTGCGTTTGACCGAATAGCACTATTTGCTGCAATGTGCAAAAATAAGTTTTTTCCAACATTTTATCATATCTCACGAACTGTTGAACCAATCGACCTGAAACTCAACGCGTTGTGCTCAGCAGGTTCCGTTTGACCGAATAGCACTATTTGCTGCAATGGCAAAAATAATTTATTTCTAACATTTAGTCATATCTCACGAACTATTGAACCAATCGAGCTGAAACTCATCGCGTTGTGCTCAGCAGGTTGCGTTTGACCGAATAGCACTATTTGCTGCAATGTGCAAAAATAAGTTTTTTCCAACATTTTGTCATATCTCACGAACTATTGAACCAATCGAGCTGAAACTCAGCGCGTTGTGCTCAGCAGGTTGCGTTTGACCGAATAGCACTATTTGCTGCAATGTGCAAAAATAAGTTTTTTCCAACATTTTGTCATATCTCACGAATTATTGAACCAATCGAGCTGAAACTCATCGCGTTGTGCTCAGCAGGTTGCGTTTGACCGAATAGCACTATTTGTTGCAATGTGCAAAAATAAGTTTTTTCCAACATTATGTCATATCTCACGAACTATTGAACCAATCGAACTGAAACTCAGCGCGTTGTGCTCAGCAGGTTGCGTTTGACAGAATAGCACTATTTGCTGCAATGTGCAAAAATAAGTTTTTCCCAACATTTTGTCATATCTCACAAACTATTGAACCAATCGAGCTGAAACTCAGCGAGTTGTCCTCAGCAGGTTGCGTTTGACCGAATAGCACTATTTGCTGGAATGTGGAAAAATAATATTTTTCCAACATTTTGTCATATCTCACGAACTATTGAACCAATCGAGCTGAAACTCAGCGCGTTGTGCTCAGGAGGTTGCGTTTGACCGAATAGCACTATTTGCTGCAATGTGCAAAAATAAGTTTTTTCCAACGTTTTGTCATATCTCACGAACTATTGAACCTATCGAGCTGAAACTCGTCGCGCTGTGCTCAGCAGGTTGCGTTTGACCGAATAGCACTACTTGCTGCAATGTGCAAAAATAAGTTTTTTCCAACATTTTGTCATATCTGACGAACTATTGAATCAATCGAGCTGAAACTCAGCGCGTTGTGCTCAGCAGGTTGCGTTTGACCGAATAGCACTATTTGCTGCAATGTGCAAAAATAAGTTTTTTCCAACATTTTGTCATATCTCACGAACTGTTGAACCAATCGAGCTGAAGCTCAGCGCGTTGTGCTCAGCAGGTTGTTTCTGACCGAATAGCACTATTTGCTGCAATGTGCAAAAATAAGTTTTTTCCAACATTTAGTCATATCTCACGAACTATTGAACAAATCGAGCTGAAACTCATCGCGTTGTGCTCAGCAGGTTGCGTTTGACCGAATAGCACTATTTGCTGCAATGTGCAAAAATAAGTTTTTTCCAACATTTTCTCATATCTCGCGAACTATTGAACCAATCGAGCTGAAACTCTTCGCGTTGTGCTCAGTAGGTTGCGTTTGACCAAATAGCACTATTTGCTGCAATGTGCAAAAATAAGTTTTTCCCAACATTTTGTCATATCTCACGAACTATTGAACCAATCGAGCTGAAACTCAGCGCGTTGTGCTCAGCAGGTTCCGTTTGACCGAATAGCACTATTTGCTGCAATGGCAAAAATAAGTTTTTTCCAACATTTTATCATATCTCACGAACTGTTGAACCAATCGAGCTGAAACTCAACGCGTTGTGCTCAGCAGATTCCGTTTGACCGAATAGCACTATTTGCTGCAATGGCAAAAATAATTTATTTCTAACATTTAGTCATATCTCACGAACTATTGAACCAATCGAGCTGAAACTCAGCGCGTTGTTCTCAGCAGGTTGGGTTTGACCAAATAGCACTATTTGCTGCAATGTGCAAAAATAAGTTTTTCCCAACATTTTGTCATATCTCACAAACTATTGAACCAATCGAGCTGAAACTCAGCGAGTTGTCCTCAGCAGGTTGCGTTTGACCGAATAGCACTATTTGCTGCAATGTGGAAAAATAATATTTTTCCAACATTTTGTCATATCTCACGAACTATTAAACCAATCGAGCTGAAACTCAGCGCGTTGTGTTCAGGAGGTTGCGTTTGACCGAATAGCACTTTTTGCTGCAATGTGCAAAAATAAGTTTTTTCCAACGTTTTGTCATATCTCACGAACTATTGAACCTATCGAGCTGAAACTCGACGCGCTGTGTTCAGCAGGTTGCGTTTGACCGAATAGCACTACTTGCTGCAATGTGCAAAAATAAGTTTTTCCAACATTTTGTCATATCTCACGAACTATTTAATCAATCGAGCTGAAACTCAGCGCGTTGTGCTCAGAAGGTTGCGTTTGACCGAATAGCACTATTTGCTGCAATGTGCAAAAATAAGTTTTTTCCAACATTTTGTCATATCTCACGAACTGTTGAACCAATCGAGCTGAAGCTCAGCGCGTTGTGCTCAGCAGGTTGTTTCTGACCGAATAGCACTATTTGCTGCAATGTGCAAAAATAAGTTTTTTCCAACATTTAGTCATATCTCACGAACTATTGAACCAATCGAGCTGAAACTCATCGCGTTGTGCTCAGCAGGTTGCGTTTGACCGAATAGCACTATTTGCTGCAATGTGCAAAAATAAGTTTTTTCCAACATTTTATCATATCTCACGAACTGTTGAACCAATCGACCTGAAACTCAACGCGTTGTGCTCAGCAGGTTCCGTTTGACCGAATAGCACTATTTGCTGCAATGGCAAAAATAATTTATTTCTAACATTTAGTCATATCTCACGAACTATTGAACCAATCGAGCTGAAACTCATCGCGTTGTGCTCAGCAGGTTGCGTTTGACCGAATAGCACTATTTGCTGCAATGTGCAAAAATAAGTTTTTTCCAACATTATGTCATATCTCACGAACTATTGAACCAATCGAACTGAAACTCAGCGCGTTGTGCTCAGCAGGTTGCGTTTGACAGAATAGGACTATTTGCTGCAATGTGCAAAAATAAGTTTTTTCCAACATTTTGTCATATCTCACGAACTATTGAACCAATCGAGCTGAAACTCAGCGCGTTGTGCTCAGCAGGTTGCGTTTGACCAAATAGCACTATTTGCTGCAATGTGCAAAAATAAGTTTTTCCCAACATTTTGTCATATCTCACAAACTATTGAACCAATCGAGCTGAAACTCAGCGAGTTGTCCTCAGCAGGTTGCGTTTGACCGAATAGCACTATTTGCTGCAATGTGCAAAAATAAGTTTTTCCCAACATTTTGTCATATCTCACGAACTGTTGAACCAATCGAGCTGAAGCTCAGCGCGTTGTGCTCAGCAGGTTGTTTCTGACCGAATAGCACTATTTGCTGCAATGTGCAAAAATAAGTTTTTTCCAAAATTTTGTCATATCACAAAATGTTGGAAAGAACTTATTTTTGCACATTGCAGCAAACAGTGCTATTCGGTCAAACGAAAACTGCTGAGCACAACGCGTTGAGTTTCAGGTCGATGGTTCAATAGTTCGTGAGATATGACAAAATGTTGGGAAAAACTTATTTTTGCACATTGCAGCAAATTGTGCTATTTGGTCAAACGCAACCTGGTAAGCACAACGCGCTGAGCTGCAGCTCGATTGGTTCAATAGTTCGTGAGATATGACAAAATGTTGGACAAAACTTATTTTTTCACATTGCAGCAGATAATTTTTTAAAATTTTTTCAAAATGCCGAGGTTGGAAAAAAAAATGAAATTTTTTTCAAAATTCCGAGTTTGGAAAAAAAAAAGAAAATTTTTTCAAAATTCCGAGGTTCGAAAAAAAAAATGTAAATTTTTTCAAAATTCCGATTTTGGGAAAAAAAATGAAATTTTTTCCAAAATTCCGAGGTTAGAAAAAAAAAATGAAAATTTTTTCAAAATTCCGAGGTTGGAAAAAAAAATGAAATTTTTTTCAAAATTCCGAAGTTGGAAAAAAAAAATGAAAATTTTTTCAAAATTCCGAGGTTGGAAAAAAAAAAATGAATTTTTTTTCAAAATTCCGAGGTTGGAAAAAAAAATGAAA